GGCTTGAGGGATGGAGTGGAACGCGACGAGAACGGGCCGAGATTGGAAAATGGATGGTGACGGAACGGGTCGCGCACTTCCGGCACAACGGGACAGGCAATGCAGGGAGCGGACAAGAATGTCTTTTCTGCGTCAACAGCGCTCGAGGATACCCTTGTTTGCTTCTCTTCTTCTTTTCCAGTTCACCTCCGCTGCCGGAAGTGGTTCCTCAGTTGGATCGCTGTCAGCGAACTAGTCCGTCTCGCGCCGAGGGGACCCGGTCGCAGACGGCGACCATCATCGGCGTCACTGTACATCATCAGCGCATAACTAGTCTGCGAAGGCTTCATGGTCCGCGGGAGGCCGGCGCCGTTCCGGCGAAAGATGCCGAAGCACGTGCGGGGCGCCACTCCGAAATCCCATTCCGCGGCCATCGACCGCCATAAGACCTTCCGATGAAGATGGAGGCGTAGGGGACGGGATTTGTAGAGCTGGATGGCCCAATGGGCGCGTCTGAAGGGCGGGGATTCGGTCTGACCGAGAACGGGTCCTGGGTCTCGAGCCAAGCCAAGCCACCACAACGTCCCCTCTCCTCATTTAGGCATCGCCGCGAGAACCACTCGCGAGAACCTGTGCCTTCGCGTGCCCGCCCCGCACAACGCCGCAGAATGCGGACGACCATCGTCGCCGTCCTCCTCGCGGCCCTGCTGGCCGCGATGGCCTCGTTCGTCGCTTCGGCGCCGCGCGGCGGCGAACTCGAACCGCGCGACGCCACGGAGCTCTCCGCGCCCGACGCCGAGCTCTCCGACCTCCGTCGACGGTACGCGCCGCTCGATTGCCTCCCGATGCCGCCCGATGACGCGCGCACCGCAGGGGACCCGACGTCGAGCCGAACGCGCCGAAGAAGACCACATCGAAGAAGCGGAAGACGACCACGAAGCGGAAGAGGACGACCAGCAAGCGCGCCGCAGCAAAAACTACCGCCAAGGGCGCCCCGAAGACCACGGCCAAGCCCTTCTCGCCCAACCAGGGACCCACCTGGATCACGCTCCCGAATACGTGGTGTAATGAGGTAGCGTGGATGCGCCTGAACAACGGCGTCCTCCAGTGCCATGGCAACGGCGACAACCCGCCGACCGACTGTAAGTGACCTGGAGGTGATGGTCTGTCACCACTGAGCGTCCCTCCCAGGCAACTACTACTTCAAATGCGTCTTGAACCCGCGTGCCCACCCCGGCTGCTCCAACGGCGCGGGATACCTCGGCCCCGGCGGCCCGAAGGAGACCATGAGGTGGTTCACACCCAGCATGAGAAACCTTCACAAGGTGGAAAATGGAAAGACCGTGGACCAGGAGTACGTGTCGTATCCGTACAAGCAGCTGGGCTGGCTGCACTTCCACAACGGGACCTGCGACCCGTACTGTCCGATGAAGGTGGGTGCCGCGCGGAAACGGTTCGAGGGAGGGGCTGAAAGTCGTGGGTTTGCCAGACGGTCAAACAGTACATCGAGGATGGCCAAGGCGAGGACTGTCAACCTCTCGACTAGTGTATTAGCAGGGGACTGCGAGTTTCAATGGGGACTAGAGTCAAGCTATTTCTTGCCCCATTTCGCGGCGTTCTTCGCTCTTGTTCCGGCTTTTGGGGTTCTTCAACCAAGACTTTCGCGGCGAAGTGGATAAGCGGATCGCGCCCCTCAACAGTACGGCGCATCTTCCGCAGCTCCTCCGCTCTCCTCCTGGCCCCGTTGCGGTCAATTCCGGCCCGAACTGGTTTAGCAGCCGCTCCTTCACCTTGCTTTACGAGGAGCAAGCCGATCGCGGGTTTCCGCTGCGTCCTGAACCCGGCAGACTGGCGTGGAGGATGCTTGACGAAGTGGGAAACCCGTCCAAACTTAGCGCAAGGCATTGGGGAACGATGGCCTGCGTCGGTCGTGCGGGGGAACCACCCGAGCGCGGGAGGTTTGCCGTCCGAGTGTCCCACGGCCTCCCCACCATCCAGAAAGGTTCGATGGTGTAGTTGGCCATCACTTCTGTCTAACAAGCGTCGCATTGCGATGCTTGAGACCACAGACGGTCTCGATTTGGCCGAAGCCAGGTTCGGGCGCGTTTTGCGGAAACGGTCGAAGCGTCCCGCCGGCCAATCCCGTGGCCACTAACCCAATCACGGGCTTGCGAGGGACATGAAGACGTAGGAAATTCTATCGGGGCGTGCGGGATGGTGCACGGAGCGCTTACCGGAACGCGGGGGTGCGGTGCTGACTGGCGGCGGGCGGGATCCCCGAAAAACCAAAATGGAGCTCCCCTGTGCTTTCCGCCGCAACCCGCCGCGACCTGATCCGAAGCGGCGGAAAAGGAAGATAGGAGGTTCTTTCAAAGTTGTGCTGGAACTGGAGTGCGGTGGAGCAGCAAAATCGGGGCCTCGCCAAGACCAACCAGCACCACCACCACCCAGGCCATCACACCGCCCCGAATCAAAACTATGGTTCGATCCGGGTTCGAACCGGAGAGGTCTGTCGGCAATCATATGCTCTTTTTGCTCAGTCGGGGTGGACAAGCTCATCTGAGTCGTGTCGTGTGCTGCTTTTCGAGCTCTTGGGATTCGTCAATTGGATTGATGTGCAGCGGCCACTGGGGGATTCTTCCCGGTTACATCAGCGTGTGCTACTCCACCGGAAGCGGCTCGTAGATTCGGCTTCCCGGGCTCCTGCCGCACTTCTTGACCCCAAACCTCCGTATGCGCTCTTCGGTCACCGCCCGCTTCCCCTTCCCCCATCTCCACCCCGCCGGCCCCTGCGGACTTGCGCAGTCGAGGCACACTGCTCCCATGGCCTCCATGAACCCTGCCAGCCCTGCGGCGGGCACGGTCCCGAACCTCCAGCCTTCAGCCTCCAGGATGCGGAAACCCCCGGTGTGGGTGTTGACCTCGACGATCGGCGCCCTGGTCCCCGGGGCCAACCCCAGGGGGTTGGGCGACGGGTCGGGGAGCGCGGTGCAGAGAAGCAGCGCGGCGGTGCCGTCCCCGGGGAGGGCGAAGAACGGGCCCGGGTGCGCTGAGGAGATCGGGATGCGTCCCTCAATCGCGTCGGGATCGTACGCGGATGGCGGCGCAGCGGACCGGAAGTACAGCGGGGAAGAGGGATTGCGAGGGTCCAACGCCTCGGGGTTGAGAACGGGCGCGGGGCCATCCTTGCGATGCAGGAACTCCTCCGGCCCTTGGGGCTTCGTCTGGCCGTCCCCGATCCGCCTGACCTTGCATGCCGAGAGATTGGCGGGTAGGATGGCTGGCTGCCAGGGCAGAGCGGCAATCGCGGTACCGGGGAGCACGGACCACGGGGCGATCACCGCCGCGGCCGCGATGCCCAGGTCCCGAGCCAGCGCTAGCACGATCCTCCCGCTCTCGTTGGATCGGGCCTCGCTCGCAGAGAGGTACCTCGCGTCGCGCTGCGCGTCGCTGGCCGGGGTACCGGGCGTGGCCAGCTGCGTGATCAGGCCGCCGTCCGGCGACCAGCTGACGTGCGCGTTAAAGGCGTCGGGAGGGAACAACTTCCCTTCCCTCTGCCTGGCGGCCAGGAGCGTGCGCGTCCGATCGGATTCGGCGTTGGATACCGCGATCACCATGCCACCATCGTGCCCAAAGGTGGCATGGAGCGCCGGGCACTGCGTGGTCGTCGGCGCACGAGGGCGGTGCCCGTGCGTGAAGCCCAGCCGCAGGCTCATCTCCACGACGAACGCGGCCCAGGCGAAGTCGAGCGGGTGACGCAGCAGACCGCAGGCGTCGCGGTGCGCTGCCCAGTTCCTGCGCTGGCACGCGATCGAGCAGTACGGCGCGGTGCGGCAGGCCCCGCAGCGCTGCAGCGGGACGCCGGCGCGGCCGCAGGCGAGGCACGCCGCTCTGATCCACAGGTCGCGTTCTTCCGTGCACATCATCGCGTCCGGGCGGATGACGAGGGCGCCCGAGCGCAGGAGTGCTTCGATCTCGTCGGCGTTGCGCGCAATCCTGGCCATGGCGGGTGGCGGTCTGAGGCCTGCTTCCAACAGACGATTGGCGTTTCTGGTTCCACGGGAGCCTGGTACAATTGTCGCTCAACGCGGTGTGTCTGTGTACGTGTGCGGCGACGCGTCTGGTCGACGCGTCCTGTGCACGATCCCATCTTGGAGGCGCCAGGTGACTTTCGCGAGGAAAGTCCAGCGAGCGCTGCGAGCACCTTATTTGCACTTCGTCACGAACAAAGATCCTGCATCGATGCCGGGAGCAAGCGCCAGGAATCGCATATGACTCGAGCAACGGCCCTAGATCCTGTGTCGCACGTAAGCGATTCAACAGGATTGTACGTGCCCCATCACCTGGGAGCGACATCTCTACCATCTGAATCTGTTGCAGGAATCCATGGCTGCTGCCATGGCGAGCTGTTGGGTGAGGATCGGCGTTTTCCCTCTCGTCTCACCCCAATACCCTTGCCTAGAAACCCTTCGAGCGACGGCGCAGCCTAGCATGAATGATTGGATTGCAGATCCGAGCCCAAGGTAAAATTGAGCCCGAGGAGAATCCGGGATGAAACGCTATTTGTTTCCGACGCGTGGCCTTTGGCCAAGTGACACGTCATGAACAATGCCCTCATGTGCGATTTGAACGACGAAAATTGCACGATATGTACTTCGATTTGCCTGGTTCTACACGGTAACGTTTCGCTGGCTGCTTATTGGCATAGCATGGCATAACAATAACTTTGATTCGTACCGTCGTTGCTGGTCTCCTCCTGGCCCCGCTGCGGTCAATTTCGGCCCGAACTGGTTGAGCAGCCGCTCCTTCACCTTGCTTTACGAGGGGCAAGCCGATCGCGGGTTTCCGCTGCGTCCCGAACCCGGGAGACTGGCGTGGAGATGCTTGGCGAAGTGGAAAACCGTCCAAACGGGAGCGCAAGGCATTGGGGAACGATGGCCTGCGTCGGTCATGCGGGGGAACCACCCGAGCGCGGGAGGTTTGCCGTCCGAGTGTCCCACGGCCTCCCCACCATTCAGAAAGGTTCGATGGTGTAGTTGGCCATCACTTCTGTCTAACAAGCGTCGCATTGCGATGCTTGAGACCACAGACGGTCTCCGGTTCGAACCCGGATCGAACCAAAGTTTTGATTCGGGGCGGTGTGATGGCCTGGGTGGTGGTGGTGCTGGTTGGTCTTAGCGAGGCCCCGATTTTGCTGCTCCACCGCACTCCAGTTCCAGCACAACTTTGAAAGAACGTCCTATCTTCCTTTTCCGCCGCTTCGGATGGTCAGGGGACGCGGCGAGAGCGCGGGGGAGCTCATTTGGTTTTCGGGGATCCCGCCCGCGCCACCGTCAGCCCTCTCCCCGCGCGTTCCAACACGCGCACTGTGCACCATCCTGCCCTCCGGATCCAGTTCCCATCGTTTCCATGTCCCTCGGAAGCCAGTGCGCCGGTCGGTTGCCGCGGAATGGGCGGGCCAAGGGGCGCTTCGCACAGGGGTTCGCACCGCGCTTCGCACCCCTGCCCGGCGGCCGTCGCGGCCTGCCGAGCCCAGATGCGGCGCAGGGTGCGATTCTGGATGCTCAGAAGGCACTTTGCCGCATCCTGGTGGCAGCGGCTCACCAGCTCTGCCCCGCGGTGCGCGCCGGCAATGTCCGCCCCTGCACGGGCAGCAGCGCGGCATCGCGGCCGATGCCGGCCGGCACGAATCGCGACTTCCGCATCGAGATTGCGGGTCTCCGACTGCGCCGCATTGTCCGCGCAGCAGTGGGATCGAAATCGCCTTCGCTAGAGTGAGCTGGAGCGGAGTTCGAGGCGGAGTTCCGTGCCGAGCTCCGCAGACGGCGCACGGGCCTGCCAACGACGAAGGCCAGTATATTATGAGGTCGAAATCAATGCCGCGAAATGTCAAATACAATGATTATGTCCAGAAGGAAGAAAAATATCGCGCCACGCCCCCGAACGCTCTGCCTCCATGTCCCTCGCAGCACCGTGTCCGAGAGTGATCACCGCCCGCCGCCGGCTTCCCGTCCGCATCACCGCACATCACGGCCCGGACGCCCATCCGCACCCGCTCTTTGCCAGCTCCTCCAGGTCCCGCTCCACCATCTCCCGGACCATCTCCTCGAACCCCGTCTCGCAGCTCCACCCCAGCGCCACCTGGGCCTTCGCGGCATCACCGACCAGCACGGCACCGGTCTCTGGCCGGTATAGCGCCTTGTCCACGCGCACGCGCACCCGTCCCGTGGCCGCATCCACGCCGATCTCGTCGACCCCGGAGCCCTTGAACACCAGGGGGATGCCCGCGGCCGCGAACGCCGCCGCGCAAAACTCCCGCACCGTCCTCGCCCTCCCCGACGCAAACACATAGTCCCCGCCCTCCTTTTCCTGCAAGGCCAGCCACATGCCCCGGACGTGGTCCCGCGCGTGGCTCCAGTCCCGCCGCGAGTCCAAATCCCCCAATTCGAGGCAATCCAGCAGGCCGAGTCGCACGGCGGCGGCGCCGGAGGAGATCTTGCGGGTGACGAAGGAGCGCCCGCGGCGCGGGGATTCGTGGTTGTAGTGGATGCCCGAGGAGGCGTGCATGCCGTGGGCCTCGCGGTAGGAGCGGACCGACTCGTGGGCAAACAGCTTTGCGACTCCTGGGATACCGATAGGGGGAGGCAAGCGGGCCGAGGAAGCAGATCAGCAATCCAGGACCCAGAGTGCGCGGGCCGTTGCGCTCACCGTACGGATTCCGCGGCCGATAAAGCGTGCGTTCGTTCTGCGGCGACTCCTTGGCGTTGCCAAACAGCTCCGACGTCGACGCCAGGTACACCCTCGACGAGCCGGCCAGCCCCGTGGCCCGCAGCGCCTCGAGCATCCGCAGCGGCCCGATAGCGTCCACCTGCGCCGTGTACTCTGCCAGCTCGAACGACGCCCGCACGTGCGACTGCGCGCCGAGCAGGTACACCTCGTCCGGCCGCACGCGGGCGAGGATGGCCGTGAGCCGCGAGGCGTCGGCGAGGTCGCCGTCGTGCAGCTCGACCTTTGGTTCGAGCGGGCTGAAGCCGTCCGCAGGGTCGTCCTCGAACGGCAGCTGCGGGTCCGCTGCGGGCGAAGACGACGCGCGGACGATGCCGTGCACGGCGTAGCCCTTTGCGAGGAGGAGCTCCGCGAGGTATTTGCCGTCCTGGCCCGTGATTCCTGCGCGGCCCAAGTGGGGCGGGCGGGTCGGGGCGGAGCGGGCGTCAGGGGCCGCCGCGGCGGCACTGCCGCGGATCTCCCACCTGTGATCAGCGCGGATTTTCGCCGCAGCGGCGGCGCCACCCGCGGGGGCGGCTCGGGGGAGGGGGCGCGGGCGCGGCGCGGCACAAACAATGGCGCCGGCGCCGCCCGGGGGGCGGGCCGCGGCCACGCCTCCAGCGCAGTCATTTCGGCCGCGCGAGCACCGTGCGGATTGCGGCGGCCGCGGGCCGGTCGGGCGCGCGCCTGCTCTGCGACGTTTCGAGGGATGATGCCCCTGTTGTGGGGGATCCTGACTCCAGACCTCGCGCCCCAGCCCCCTCGGTCCGTAGTGCCCGATCACACGGATTCTTCGGATGCCTGGTCGGACGGGCGACTAAAGACCGGCTTGATCCGGCCGGTGGGCGAGATTCCGTCGCCGGCCGGCCGGGTCTGGGCGGCGTGGGATAGAGGGACGGAGGGGACCGGGCCGGAAAAGGGTGTACAAGGGACTCTGTGGGCCGTCCTCTCCCCGTGCCGGCGGGGGGGGCGAGATGCTGACGCGGTCCGCCTGACCACGCCCCGCACCGGCAGTCCATCCACACCGGGCTCGACGCGAATTTCGGCATCCGCGAGCAGAATGGGCCCGCGTGGTACGGGGTCCGGTGCTTCGAGCTCTACATCAAGAACTGCGAGGGGGACCGCACCTGCGCCGAAATCTTCGCCAGCCCGGGGAAGGAGTGGTGGTTCCAGGTCACAGCCTGCTTCGGGGGCAGTTGGGTCGTCGGCACGTCGTGCTTGGTGGCCTTAGAAGAGTACGCTGCAGCGGAACGCGATCGCTGCCGGAAGCAGTTGGAACTTGTAGGGGCGGGCGGAACTGGCCCCGCCATGGTGGTCCCGAATGTATGTAGTCCTTGGTGCCGATCGGCTTCCCACCGTCGTCAGTAACGTACGACCCATACGGCGTGTCCGCAGTTGCCTGCGATATTTTCGAGCAACGGAAGCCCCCGCAATCCCGACCGCACGCCGCAGTGGATAAAGACCGAGCTGTTCCAGCGGGGCCCAAAAATGAGCAGATCGGTAGATGCCTGTTTATAGGCGTATCCAGGTGGCGGGTGCCGGTGCCGAGGAGATCCGCGGGCGGCAAGTTGCCCCCGCCGCCCGACCGGCTGGGGACGCGCCACCGGACCGATCCGCCAACGCAGCAGCGCGCCGGCTATCCGGTCTTATGTATCGGGCGTCTTTCGCACGTACGAGGTTGCCGGCGGACGGGTGGCTGAACTGGCGCGAGGCTGTCGTCATTCTGTTGCGGCCGGCGGATGGGGGCCGGCGTCCCCTGCGGCGTCCTTAGCTTGTTGACACTTGCCAACGGATAAGATTTTAGGGATGGCGCCGGTGGTTCGCACGCTGCTGCTGGCGGCCGTCGTCGCGCTGATCGCGCTGCAGGCGCGGCCGCCGCCGCCGTGCCCGGCCCCGCCGCCGCCGCCCGCGTGTCCCGCGTGCGCGGACTGCCCCGCATGTGCCGCATGCCCCGCGTGCCCGCCGCCGCCGCCGCCGCTGCTGCCGCCGGTCGACGCCTCGTACGGCATTACATTCTATTTGTGGGCACGGGCGGAGCTGGGCCTGGGCGTCGCCGGCCGCTCGTTCCTGCGCTCGCTGGCAAAGTCGGGCATCCCCACCCGCATCTGCGATGCCCAGACCGTGTTTCGCATCCCGCACACGGCGTCGGACGCCCCGTTGCAGGCCGTGCTCGACGAGTCGGCCGCCACGGGGGGCAAGCTCGAGTTGGCAGACTGCACGAAGCCAAACCCGCACTTTATCAACCTCTGGGGGGTCGGACCCGACCTGATCGGCCCCGTGATCAAAACTTTCTACGATAAGTTCGGCTTTGACCCGCGGGACGGCCGGATCAACGTCGCCTGGTGGTTCTGGGAGATGGAACAGTTCCCCGCCAATATCCTCGACATCTTCAACTCGGTCGACGAAATCTGGGCTCCCACCACCTTCATTGCCCAGGCCTTCCGCCACTCTTCGCAGCTCCCCGTATCGGTGCACATCCCGCCGCTGCCCGTGCGCTTCGAGCCCCCCGTCACGGCGGAGCGCACCCTCGCCGCGCGGAAGGAGCTCGGCCTGGAGGACCGCGGCTTCTATTTCCTCTATTCCTTCGACTGCCACTCGACAACGGTGCGAAAGAACCCCGTCGCCGTGCTCCGCGCCTTTTTGAAGGCCTTCCCGGCCGGCTCGCCCGAGGACCCCGACCGCCGCCCGCGGCTGCTCCTTAAATCCACGCACTGCGACTCGGCGCACCACACCGCCGCGCGGGACTGGAATGAGGTGTCGTCCATCGCGGAAAAGGACCCCCGCATTAGGCTCATATCGAAGCACCTGCCCGAGGACAAGGTCGGCGCGCTTTTTGCCGCCGCCGACGCCTACGCGAGCCTGCACCGCGCCGAGGGGTTCGGCCTGGGAATGCTGCAGATGCTCGCGCACGGCAGGCCGGTCGTGGCCACGAATTATTCGGGCAACGTGGACTTCATGCGGGAGGACTTTTCGTACCTCGTACCGTACGGGATGAAGGAAAACAGCGAGGACGTGGGGGCGTACAAGAAGGGTTACAAGTGGGCCGAACCCTCAGTCGACGCCGCGGCGGAAGCCATGAAGCGGATCGTCGAGCACCCGGAGGAGGCGGCGGAAAAGGGCCGGAAGGCGAGGGAGTGGGTGCTTCGCGAGCTCGGGCTGGAAAAGACCGCCGCAAAGGCCAGGAAGAGGGCGGACGAGCTATGGAGGGTGAGGGCGGCGGTGGTGGCGGTGGGCAAGGAGAGGAGGAGGGAATACTGAAGATTGGTCGAACACTCGAATGTTCAACGTGAGCTGAATTTGATCGATTCCAAATCAAATCAATCCTCCAAATGACCAACAGTAAGCAACATTTCCA